TTACCAAAACCCTTCAAACTCTACTCCCATCAACCCTACTAATCGTTAGTAATCAAGCGATTAAGGTTTACGCAACTGTCCCTTCTAAGTAAAATTTCGATATATTTTAACCATCGAAATCTAACATTTCACCACCAAAAGATTGATCAGTCTGTCTTCTTCAAAAACTCTAATAGCTTAAAATGGGTTTATTCTCTGTTCGTTATTGAAATATAAATTTAGATAATAAAATAATATTTTAAAAATATATGGATGGAAAAGCATCATGAAACCATTATTTGGGTTATAAAAAATCGTTAACTCTTATAAATTATGGCAAATACGTGATCTCATAGAGTGATTGTCACGTTTCCAATTTTCTAAATATAAAAAATAAAATAGTTTATAATTATAATATTATTAGTATATTGTAGGGATTGATTGAGTAGATCGGCTAATAATCTTCCACTTGGAAGCAACAAAGCTCCGTTCAAATCTTCAATGCACGTTGTTCTGCCGTGTAAATATCCGTTGACCGAGTCTGAGTGTACTTTAAATTGAACGAAATGAGTAGACTTTGACTTTTGCCTCGACCCAAATTAGACGCATCGAGTAAAAAACTATGTGTTAAACTTACGGAGAAAGATCACACAAGTATTACCTATATTTTTGTTCAGTTAATTTATGCACATCTCAACAAGATTTATTGAATACTTTATAAATTCAAATGAACATGTAAGTTACAATATTATTATAGTAAATAACCTCAATATTTAAACTTAGAAACTTAAGGAAAGAAACAGACTTTTTTAACTGTCAAATCAACCCCTTCAAGTTTATTATCTATAATTTCATCTATCATTCTTGTTGTTATTATAAAGTAATGTTTAATTAATGCTATTATTATAATAATTATGGTATTAAATTACTTTATAAAATTTTCTTTTTTAATAGTATTAAAAACGTTTAGAGGAGATTTTTATTTTAAGGTTAATTAGGTGAGTAGGTAACTATCGTGGCAACTAAATACCCTGTCTTGTTTTAATTATGGCTTAGTATATAAGATTTTGTCTCTTCAGTTTGGAAGTTTTTATCCTTTTTTTTTTTTTTTTTTGTAAACGACTTGTTCTCACTAGGGGTGAGAGAAATAATCTGGAAACCAAACCAAACCAGAAACCGATCCGAAACTGAACTAAAAATTAGGTTTTTTTATAAATGGGTTCGGTTTGTAAAATTTAAAAAATCAGAAAACCGGTTAAACCCTAACTATATAAGCAACATGCATTTTGTTTTTAAAATATTATTATTTTTCTCTTCAGTCTTCTCCGCCTCCAAGCTCTAATCTCCATTCTCCATAGTGCACACTCCACTGAGTAACTCCACATCTGCCTCCACTCCACTCCAATACTCCACTCCGTTTTCGATTCTTCAGCTTTTCTCTTCGCCTGTTCGCCAACAGCACCCAACAGCTCCATTCCACTCTAGTACTCCACTCCATCTTCGATTCTTCAGCTTTGCTCTTCGCCTATTCATCGGTAGCACCCAGCAGCTCCACCCACAGTGAGTTGACAGTCCCATACCCATCCACTCCAACATCCATTTCACCGAAAACCACTCACCCAACAGCACCATTCAGCACAACAACCACCCACTCAGCCGCTTACCAGCGACGATGACGATAGTCCACATTGTTGCATTGTAGTTCACAGCAACCCCCACTCCACTGCCGTTCAGATATGTGACTGTAATTATATATAAAATAATAAATATTTGAATTTAGGGACTTAAATGTAAAAATTGAAGAATTTTAGGGGTTAATTTGAAAACCAGTTAACCGAACCAAATATTCGGTTCGGTTTACAACCGGTTTCGGTTTGCATTTTGTCTAAACCGAATAACCGGTTTGGTTTCCAATTTTCATAATCCAGTTCGGTTAACTGGATTATCCCACCCCTAGTTCTCACCCAAGGTTTTGCAAAATCCAAGGTTGGTACCTAGTTTTATAAATTCTAGATTCCCACCCTTAAATAGATGTCTATTTGTTTCTTTTAATCGTTAAAGGTTAAAATGATCATTTAATATTTTCATTTCTGAAAAACATTCTCTCACCCACCTAGTGTTGTTGCCGATCTTGACGCCATCTCTAGCATCAAACACTTCCAAATCAATCACAATCAATTTCCAAACAACCATTAATCTCAATTTCCTTTCAAAAATCTCCGAAACAAACACCAATCAAATCCAAAATTAACCAAAATTGTGAAAACCCTAATAAGGGAAGAGGCGACTGACAAATGGTAGGCAATCGGGACTTGGGATGTTGGGGATTTTGGAGAGGGAACGCTAGTGGTGCAAAAGGTGGTGGTGGGGGAATTTATGGTGGAGTAGCCATAATTTTGTTGGGAAGGGGTGATAATTGCGAGAAACCTTAAGGGGCTAGTGGCATTGGTCGGCATGCAATTGTGGTGGGGGAGCTTAGGGGTTTTGGTGGGGGGACTCTGGTGAGGCTAATGGTGGGCTTGAGGGTGATTGTGGTCAACGAATTCTACCGAAAAAGCTTGAAACCTATGTGTAAGAAGGAGTGGCCACTAAAAGCTGGGGAGGAATGGATGTGTCGGGGTAAAGCTATAGTCGGATGGAAGTTCGCCCAATGGGCACAGGTGCTGGGCCGTGGGCGTTGGCGTTGGACGAGCCTGCATGCAAATGGCATGGCAGTTCTCTTGGGAAATTCGTCGAATGGGTGGTGTGCTAGCAACTAAAAAAAAATCAATCTCTCGTCCCTGATTCGTCCAAAACCTAGAAAATCAACAAACAACACTTCAAAAGACACTTAATCAAACTCCAAACATAAGCCTAACACTCAATCTCCAATAAAAAAGCAAATAACCACCAAAATTACACAAAAGGTCGACGGTAGTGAAGACAAGGAAGGGAGATGAGGAAGAAGAAGGTTTGAGGGCAATCTGGTAAAAGCATCCACTGCTCTTGTGTCTAAAGTCTAAACCCATCCGTCACTAACGATGTCCATTTAAGAGTGGGAATCTGGAATTTATAAAACCAGGGATACCAACCTTGGTTTTCACTAAGCCTTAGGTGGGAACATGTCATTTACCCTTTTTTTTTTTTTAAACCAAAAATAAACTTTATTTTTAATTTAAAAATATTGGGTGTATAATTATAGTTATCTTTAGCAAATTTATGGTTTTAACCACCATTGAGTGACCTGATAATAAAAGAGTAAATGAGGATATAACAGTCTTTAAAGTTCGAGTCCCCACGACTGCTAATAGGGGTGACCATTTGAACTCTTACCTGACTGGTAACTCTAGGGTCCTGAGAAGTTAGTTGAGCTCAATCTAATTTTAAAAAAAAAAAAAAAATTATAGTTTGGCAGAATGTAATGAGCAAGTGGAGTTGATTAAACTATATATTAAAATGGATGTAAATGATGTGTACAAGATATTGTTTTGGCTCCTGAGGAATTTTAAAATTGCTAGCTGTTGAGCCAAACCTTTTGTTTATGAGATTCTAAATCTTCACTTATATCAATGTGATAGCATCATTAATTAATTAATTAATTAATAACGACATCGAAATAAAACGGTACAATTTGGAGATTGAAAAGCCAAATCAAATGGAGTAAGATTAAATTTGAATTTTGGAAAGTTATGCTACATATCATCCATCACCCTAAACCATAAAACCACGTAACATACATCTCATTAAATTTAACTTAATCAAACCCCAACAGAATCTCTCCGTCTATTTGGTAAATACAAATTATCACAACTAGACACGGAAAAAAAAGAGTTAAAAACGGGAAAAGGATTCAAGAAAGCGATATTTAACTGGAAAATGTTGAACTCGATACATCTTGGAGAAGTGAAAGATGAATACTTGAAGCAAATAATAGAAGATATTGGGAAAAATTGCTCTGCCCTTGAGATAGTATCTCTGAGGATGAATGATTTTCACCTAATGCTAGTGGTATAGCTAAAAATCTTCTTCAAGTGAAGACACCGAGGTGTTTGAAGGTGTTTCCCTTTAAAGAGATGGGATAAGTTACATACTCGACAACCTGAATGAGGTAAAAGCAATTCAACTTTGTGATTGCTTTTTAGCTGAAGAAGTGGAACCGGATACAGTAGATTCATGGCATTCCTTTCCAATTACTGCAAATTTCGCTCAACAAAGTAAGGAAAGGTAATGTCAAATGGTACTTTATGCATACTCTAAACGTCAAAGCTGAAGTACTGACTCGATGAAAGGAATGGAGGAGTTAAGCAGATCTAGAAATAGATTTTATGCCCGACTATGACTAGGATAAATTCGGTGAAATGAACCTTCCAGCTGTAGGAGGATACCAAAGCCAGCTTTAGAAGGATGCCGGAGCTTATAATTCTTAATGTTTATGATATAACTACGATAAATTCGGTGAAATGACCTTGTTGTTCCATCATTACATTAAAAAAACATGAATACAAAAGAATAAGATAATCCTACATTATTATTGTTTTGATAACCATAAACCACAGGCATGGCAATGTATAATACAAGGCATAAATTTAAACAATAATTTATCATGCATCTGATAAGTTATACGGCATACCATATCCTCTACAAAAACATCTGAAAACAATTTTCTAAACTCAACATCATAATAACTTAATCTAAAACAATGGTGCAAAGTAGAGACCCAATAGTACAAAATTAACAATGAATGGTCATCCTACTAGTCATTATCAATAAATTTGTTTTTTTATTTTTTATTTGTTTTTTAATTTTATTTCAAAAGCCAAAGTAATAGAAAACAAGGGATACGGTACGCTCCATGAGTACACCTGGTCTGCAGAAGCAATAGTTTAGATTTTGCAGCACGCCCGAAGATTGCTTCATGACACAAAACAAGGGCTGCAGTTCGAAGTCACTCTACACAAGGCCTAGAGCATATGATTGCCTATATTGCAAAGATTCCGAGAATCACATCCTATTATATTTCTTCTGCAGTTGAATTTTTCCTATCTTTCATCTTTCTACCTCATAAATTTTAGCTGTTAAGCCTCTCAAAGAAATACAAATATCCCATCTCTTTTGGAGGGTTAACAGAAGCTCCAACCTTGTCATCGTTGAAAATTACCCATCTACCATCTTTAAGGATATGAGCGACGTAGTGACCACACTGGGTAGAGGTTCCAATATGGCTCACTATTCCAAACAGCCGGTATTCTGCAATAAGACAAGGTAACAGCGGTTTAAACTAAGCAATTTATTCATATATAATTGAAATGGCAGCTACATTGCTCCGAACAACCAGTATTTCAACAGTCATCAACTGAAGCAATACAATTAGTAATATAATCAGAACAAAATGGCTATTACTAAAACGGCCAAGTAGTTGGACATCCTGTTGTGATTTTCTTTCCTTTCGTGTAGGCGTACAAAATTTAGTGGCAAAATAATATTGAATTTTTGAAACAATTTAACCTTAGTTAGGACAACACATTGCTAAACTCAGTCGTACATATTCAATCCAAAATATTCACAATTATCATGCAAACCACAAGAGCTATAATGGTTACAAACAAAATAAGCAAGAAAAGGTTAAAGAAACTAACTCCCTCCTCCATCCGTTAGACCAGCATCCACAGGAGTTTGTACAGTGCTTGATGAGGTAGCATCCATATCCGATGAAGCAGAAGCATCCGGATTGTTAAATATCCAATCTGTTGCTTTCTCAATGTCATCACCCTGTACAAAATCATAGACATAAGAAACAGTAAGAACCTTTCTAGTACTACATGAAGAAATTTTGTCAAATGTACCTTTCCTGAAAATAAAATGAGAAGCTATAAAGATTTTACCGATGCTTTCAAAGCCTTCCGAGCAATCTCTTCTTGAAAACCAAATGAGATCAAAGTATCAACTTTTGATTGGTCAATTGTTGCACCTTGTTGGGAAATAGGAATATCTATATCTGAAACAAAAAATATTTCATCAATATCATTCACTGAAGTGCTACAACTATTTATGTACCAGTTGTTGCAGCTAGATTGCTAAGTGATTGTTTACCAGGTATGAAAGTTTTGATATTGAGTTACCTGGATCATCCATATGAGAGAGTAACCAATTCATTGCTGCTTCCACTCCAGTGTTTGAGGTATTTATGGCAGCTTTCTGGCAATGAAGATGATTAAATCCCATCGACACAAGTTGGGAAACAATATCCTGGTCGGCAACAGGCATATTTGACTCTGCCTCATCCTCAGAGCCTGTTTATATAGATAAAAAATCCATAGTATCAAACCTGGGAAACCTTTTTCTGTAGCATGGATAAAACTCATAATTTTTTAATTTAAGCCATATTGCAGAATTCATGGTGAGTGAAAAAAACATTTATTAATGAGTCAAGGTTCTAGTTACATGATCATGCACATGAGAGAATAAATGAAGAGCACAAACACACAATGACTTCAGAAATTCTAGAAAGTATCACATACCACCCTCTGGTAATAGCTCCTCCCCAGGTTGAAGGCCTTTGCTGCGCATATGGGTAATATCTATGATATCTGGAACATCAATATATACATCTGGAGGGACATACGGGATGAACATAGGAACAGTCAAGTACAATGCCAACTAGTAAGAAACAATGATGGGCAATAGAAGTAATAAAGCTATAGGAAAGATACCAAGCTTCTTGGGCACCCAGCCCTCCTCCATTACAAATTTACGCATGTGCAACACCAAATAGTCAGGAAATGATGTCAAACCAGCATTCCTGCATTGCCAAATACATGTCAACGTGACTCTGAACATTTTAATGGCATTGGTCATCTTTAAATAATCAATTAATGATTCACGGTTCACATGAACAAGCCTTATTCATCCTAACTTGATGACAAACCCAGAACAACAACAACAAATTCATTTAAGGAGCAATTAATGGTCTATTCTGACTTCAATTCAAATTAAAAGAAGTACCTATAACCTTTCATGTAAAACTGCGAGGGCACATGATAAATTTTGTCCAATCTTATATTTACTGTCACCAAAACCCGTTAAAAATAATATGGAAGCTTGTGAAAGATCACAAATCTTACTTGAACGCTGTTGTCTTAGCTTTCAAGGCAGTGCTATAAAAATCGTGTATCTCCTCAGGGGCTGAAAAGGTTGCTAGACATGCTTCTAGAGGAACCCTTGGACGTACAATCTCATCACTGGATCTGCTAGAAGCAGATATGCTCAGCAATAATTCTAACATCAATAAAAGCATGACCTTTAAACCATTTAAACTTACACGTCCTTTCCTTCTGAAATCTTTTCCGCTTTCAATTTGTGGAAAGTTTCTACTTCTCCTGCATTGTCAAACAATAAAATCATTAAAGTACTAACTCTACAAAGTATGTCTCAAAGAAAAAGACCAAAAGTACCTTTATTAGTAGCTTCATGCAGTGGAATATTCAAAGAAAGAATGTAGTCAAGCCTTCTATTGTAAGCAACCTTGCCAGATGAACATGCGATACGATCTTCAATGCCAAACTTGAAACTCTTTGTGGGATCCAAATCAGGTTTTCCAGAATGAACACGTTCAACTTGATCAACAAAATGTAAAAAAAATTCCAAAGCATCCTGCATGCAAAAAGATTCAAGTATATACATAAGCAAGTTACACACAACTATGATGGGCATAGGTTATGACATCCCACCCAACTGATGCTCATTTACTGCTGAGCAACAACAGCATTGGACAGATTACCCTCTAAAACTTTTGTCCATTCAAAATATGGGCATCCAAATCTCAACAAATTATGTAATTCATATACCATATGGTGTTTGATTAAATCCTTTATGTACATAAGATGTAAGTAGGAATACTACGAGCATGTGGCAAAAATTGGACCAGATATCAAGAAAAATCTAGTAATAAAGCTATTAACATACCTGCTGTCTCACAGAAGAAAATTCAGGATGGCTAGCAGCAATAACTGCTTTAAACATACGAGGAGGTATCCCTTCCTGTTTCTAAAATTTTTGAAGGTGGGAAAAAAGAAAGTAACCAACGATTATCAATATATATACACAGAATACTAACAAGATGTGTGCATGAAAAATCAATCTACAATTAAATGGGTAAGCATCCACCAATTCTTTGAATCATACTATATAACTATGCCACATATAGCTTTTGTAGCAGTAGATTTCTGATCCACTTTCTAAGTTTTTAATAATAGAAGATATTGGGAAAACTTGCTCTGCCCTTGAGATAGTATCTCTGAGGATGACTGATTTTCATCTAATGCTAGTGTTATAGCTAAAAATCTTCTTCAAGTGAAGACACCGAGGTGTTTGAAGGTGTTTCCCTTTACAGAGATGGGATAAGTTACATACTCGACAACCTGAACGAGGTAAAACCGTAAAAGCAATTCAACTTTGTGATTGCTTTTTAGCTGAAGAAGTGGAACCAGATACAGCAGATTCATGGCATTCCTTTCCAATTACTGCAAATTTCGCTCAACAAAGTAAGGAAAGGTAATGTCAAATGGTACTTTATGCATACTCTAAACGTCAAAGCTGAAGTACTGACTCGATGAAAGGAATGGAGGAGTTAAGCAGATCTAGAAATAGATTTTATGCCCGACTATGACTAGGATAAATTCGGTGAAATGAACCTTCCAGCTGTAGGAGGATACCAAAGCCAGCTTTAGAAGGATGCCGGAGCTTATAATTCTTAATGTTTATGATATAACTACGATAAATTCGGTGAAATGACCTTGTTGTTCCATCATTACATTAAAAAAACATGAATACAAAAGAATAAGATAATCCTACATTATTATTGTTTTGATAACCATAAACCACAGGCATGGCAATGTATAATACAAGGCATAAATTTAAACAATAATTTATCATGCATCTGATAAGTTATACGGCATACCATATCCTCTACAAAAACATCTGAAAACAATTTTCTAAACTCAACATCATAATAACTTAATCTAAAACAATGGTGCAAAGTAGAGACCCAATAGTACAAAATTAACAATGAATGGTCATCCTACTAGTCATTATCAATAAATTTGTTTTTTTATTTTTTATTTGTTTTTTAATTTTATTTCAAAAGCCAAAGTAATAGAAAACAAGGGATACGGTACGCTCCATGAGTACACCTGGTCTGCAGAAGCAATAGTTTAGATTTTGCAGCACGCCCGAAGATTGCTTCATGACACAAAACAAGGGCTGCAGTTCGAAGTCACTCTACACAAGGCCTAGAGCATATGATTGCCTATATTGCAAAGATTCCGAGAATCACATCCTATTATATTTCTTCTGCAGTTGAATTTTTCCTATCTTTCATCTTTCTACCTCATAAATTTTAGCTGTTAAGCCTCTCAAAGAAATACAAATATCCCATCTCTTTTGGAGGGTTAACAGAAGCTCCAACCTTGTCATCGTTGAAAATTACCCATCTACCATCTTTAAGGATATGAGCGACGTAGTGACCACACTGGGTAGAGGTTCCAATATGGCTCACTATTCCAAACAGCCGGTATTCTGCAATAAGACAAGGTAACAGCGGTTTAAACTAAGCAATTTATTCATATATAATTGAAATGGCAGCTACATTGCTCCGAACAACCAGTATTTCAACAGTCATCAACTGAAGCAATACAATTAGTAATATAATCAGAACAAAATGGCTATTACTAAAACGGCCAAGTAGTTGGACATCCTGTTGTGATTTTCTTTCCTTTCGTGTAGGCGTACAAAATTTAGTGGCAAAATAATATTGAATTTTTGAAACAATTTAACCTTAGTTAGGACAACACATTGCTAAACTCAGTCGTACATATTCAATCCAAAATATTCACAATTATCATGCAAACCACAAGAGCTATAATGGTTACAAACAAAATAAGCAAGAAAAGGTTAAAGAAACTAACTCCCTCCTCCATCCGTTAGACCAGCATCCACAGGAGTTTGTACAGTGCTTGATGAGGTAGCATCCATATCCGATGAAGCAGAAGCATCCGGATTGTTAAATATCCAATCTGTTGCTTTCTCAATGTCACCACCCTGTACAAAATCATAGACATAAGAAACAGTAAGAACCTTTTTAGTACTACATGAATAAATTTTGTCAAATGTACCTTTCCTGAAAATAAAATGAGAAGCTATAAAGATTTTACCGATGCTTTCAAAGCCTTCCGAGCAATCTCTTCTTGAAAACCAAATGAGATCAAAGTATCAACTTTTGATTGGTCAATTGTTGCACCTTGTTGGGAAATAGGAATATCTATATCTGAAACAAAAAATATTGCATCAATATCATTCACTGAAGTGCTACAACTATTTATGTACCAGTTGTTGCAGCTAGATTGCTAAGTGATTGTTTACCAGGTATGAAAGTTTTGATATTGAGTTACCTGGATCATCCATATGAGAGAGTAACCAATTCATTGCTGCTTCCACTCCAGTGTTTGAGGTATTTATGGCAGCTTTCTGGCAATGAAGATGATTAAATCCCATCGACACAAGTTGGGAAACAATATCCTGGTCGGCAACAGGCATATTTGACTCTGCCTCATCCTCAGAGCCTGTTTATATAGATAAAAAATCCATAGTATCAAACCTGGGAAACCTTTTTCTGTAGCATGGATAAAACTCATAATTTTTTAATTTAAGCCATATTGCAGAATTCATGGTGAGTGAAAAAAACATTTATTAATGAGTCAAGGTTCTAGTTACATGATCATGCACATGAGAGAATAAATGAAGAGCACAAACACACAATGACTTCAGAAATTCTAGAAAGTATCACATACCACCCTCTGGTAACAGCTCCTCCCCAGGTTGAAGGCCTTTGCTGCGCATATGGGTAATATCTATGATATCTGGAACATCAATATATACATCTGGATGGACATACGGGATGAACATAGGAACAGTCAAGTACAATGCCAACTAGTAAGAAACAATGATGGGCAATAGAAGTAATAAAGCTATAGGAAAGATACCAAGCTTCTTGGGCACCCAGCCCTCCTCCATTACAAATTTACGCATGTGCAACACCAAATAGTCAGGAAATGATGTCAAACCAGCATTCCTGCATTGCCAAATACATGTCAACGTGACTTTGAACATTTTAATGGCATTGGTCATCTTTAAATAATCAATTAATGATTCACGGTTCACATGAACAAGCCTTATTCATCCTAACTTGATGACAAACCCAGAACAACAACAACAAATTCATTTAAGGAGGAATTAATGGTCTATTCTGACTTCAATTCAAATTAAAATAAGGACCTATAACCTTTCATGTATAACTGCGAGGGCACATGATAAATTTTGTCCTATCTTATGTTTACTGTCACCATAACCCGTTAAAAATAATATGGAAGCTTGTGAAAGATCACAAATCTTACTTGAACGCTGTTGTCTTAGCTTTCAAGGCAGTGCTATAAAAATCGTGTATCTCCTCAGGGGCTGAAAAGGTTGCTAGACATGCTTCTAGAGGAACCCTTGGACGTACAATCTCATCACTGGATCTGCTAGAAGCAGATATGCTCAGCAATAATTCTAACATCAATAAAAGCATGACCTTTAAACCATTTAAACTTACACGTCCTTTCCTTCTGAAATCTTTTCCGCTTTCAATTTGTGGAAAGTTTCTACTTCTCCTGCATTGTCAAACAATAAAATCATTAAAGTACTAACTCTACAAAGTATGTCTCAAAGAAAAAGACCAAAAGTACCTTTATTAGTAGCTTCATGCAGTGGAATATTCAAAGAAAGAATGTAGTCAAGCCTTCTATTGTAAGCAACCTTGCCAGATGAACATGCGATACGATCTTCAATGCCAAACTTGAAACTCTTTGTGGGATCCAAATCAGGTTTTCCAGAATGAACACGTTCAACTTGATCAACAAAATGTAAAAAAAATTCCAAAGCATCCTGCATGCAAAAAGATTCAAGTATATACATAAGCAAGTTACACACAACTATAATGGGCATAGGTTATGACATCCCACCCAACTGATGCTCATTTACTGCTGAGCAACGACAGCATTGGACAGATTACCCTCTAAAACTATTGTCCATTCAAAATATGGGCATCCAAATCTCAACAAATTATGTAATTCATATATCATATGGTGTTTGATTAAATCCTTTATGTACATAAGATGTAAGTAGGAATACTACGAGCATGTGGCAAAAATTGGACCAGATATCAAGAAAAATCTAGTAATAAAGCTATTAACATACCTGCTGTCTCATAGAAGAAAATTCAGGATGGCTAGCAGCAATAACTGCTTTAAACATACGAGGAGGTATCCCTTCCTGTTTCTAAAATTTTTGAAGGTGGGAAAAAAGAAAGTAGCCAACGATTATCAATATATATACACAGAATACTAACAAGATGTGTGCATGAAAAATCAATCTACAATTAAATGGGTAAGCATCCACCAATTCTTTGAATCATACTATATAACTATGCCACATATAGCTTTTGTAGCAGTAGATTTCTGATCCACTTTCTAAGTTTTTCCATTAATATACATTTCTATGTTTCCTATCAAAAAAAAAAAAAAAAAAAGAATGAAACTATGCCATAGATCATAGATGATGAAGTTGGAAGCAATTAAATACATATAAGTTGCATGCACAGAAGTTGAGTTTGATTTCTAAAAAACCAACGACTGAATTAAAACAGGGTATCAGAAATAATCATATCAATTAATTATTGGCAATTCCATGATGCAACTTAAGAATCTTAAAGAGCATAAGCAAACTTGGAATATGAACAGAATGGTCAATAGAAACTTTACAGTGTCTGTTGTAGTTGCAGCATTGGCAGTATCATCTTTCTGAAAAAGAAGTTAGACAAAAGTAAATTAGCTGGGCAAAAGAGAGAAAAAATGATGCATAGAAATCCACAGTATGATTGTATATTTACCTTCAGAGCTGGAATAGAGTATTTTCCCGATAGCAAACCATGTCCCAGCTTTGTTCTGCCACAAAAGGAGGACAAATTAGAACAACCATGACTGATCCAAATCCGCCATTTAACTACTTCAACCCAAATTTCAGTCAGTGTAATCCATAATAGATGTCTTTCACTAAAGGAAGGAAAACACAGAAAAAACAGCATGCAAAAAAAAAAAAAAACCATTAAATTTACTTAGAATCACCCAAAAAGTATACCAAACAGGAGACATGCCAGTTCCAGTTCTAGAATTTGTAAAGAAATAAAGATAAATTCCTAGAGTACTATGGATTGCAGATAGATGTCACATGGAACAAAGTTGCAATTAGCAATAAATATATCAACCTAATTATCAAATAACAAATTAGAAAAAAATTAACAAAGATAGGGAGTTGATCACTTACAACTGCATATTTAGGTCCACAGTGGGATCTGCAGGAGCAGCTACAAAAGCTGGTTTTAAATTTTGGTTCATGTAGTAACTGATGGCATTATGACAGCAAAATAAAAATCAAGTGATTTAGCATAAACAGTTTCCAATGGAAGTGAGTGGATAGTATTTATCCACAAGACAATGGTACATGTATATATTAGTAAATGCAAACTGACCGTGAACAGAAGGACCGTGTTGAGAACACAACTTGCATGGTAGCTGCCAAGTAGCAGCTGCAAGAAAACAGAACCAGGAAAGAAGTTACTCCACTGATTACATTGCCCATAGCGGCAAACCAGAGGGAGCACATTACCTGTTTCCAAGATTGACAAGTCCTGTATATCCCGGCCCAAAAAGGGGCTCCACTTCCTCTCCACTTTCTTGAATACGATTCCAATCAAAGTTGGTATTTTGGTCGAGTTCCCTTTCAGCAGTTGTCATTTCAGTCTGAAGATAAGTGAGATTGACTTCTAATAAGATCTAATTCATTTATCTAATAGAGTAAAGCTATACTTTGTGTCAAAATGCCAAATGCATTGTAATTGTAGAAATAAAAGCTAATAATCAAGAAATAAATTACGGTAAGAGCGAATAGCTGAAGTATTGCTTTACACTGGAAAATACGAATGGTGAAGAGTAAGTCTATAGTGAGGACTTCCTAGCAGCTAGAATAGAGAAGAAAATGGTCGACAATGAAATTAAATCATAGCCAAAATTGCCCCCAACTCAAAACTGACCAATCTTTACAGTCAGACAAAACCAACCTGCCTACATGATTATCTACTAAACTCATCATAAATATTTCACAACAAAACATATTAAAAAAAAAAAAAAAAAAAAAAATTCTATAGTCTTTCATTAGACTAACAACTGATGTGATAAAATTATACTGGAATGCCTTGATGAGCAAGTATCTCAAGTAATGTAAACGTTGCACATATGACAACAAAAACACCATGTTTAAACAACTACTAGGCCCCAAATGCTGTTCCATATAAACAATTTACCTTCTTTAGTGATGAAAAATCAATGCCAAAAAATGCCAGATGCTGTGCTAAAAGTGGATCCAAAACACTATCATCCTCTGGATATGAGAAAACATCTGAGCTGCCACGATAACTTACCATGATAAGTTTTTAATACATCTCAGAACAAATATTAATGCAAAAATTAGAATGAAATTCAGTCGCATCAGGAACATTGAACTATTAAAAATCATTCGGTCTTCAGGTTATTTCAGACTCCAAAGTGCTTTACATTGCAAGCAGCAGTACTTTCTAATTCAAAAAAACCACCTAGATGTAAAAAGCATCTGCAATAGCTCATTTGTTACCTTTGTTAAACAATTCCCCTCTCAGACAGCTAAAATGCCAATCCTCATAAAATTTCAAGTAATTTACAATTTGAGCTTTCTCATCAGAACAAGCATATATTGAACAGTATTGTTCCCTTCTCTTATATACTAAACAGATCAGGTAGGCAACTCATAGTCTAACATAACTATTACCTAATGTTTTTCATGTTTACTCAAAGTTTGAAGAAAATTACTCTCATTGAAACCATAAATAAACTTCTCAATAAGATTTTCAGTATGTCATCAAAGACAATTAGAGTGTGAGCAAGCACAAAATTACATGTAAAAAACAATTGGAGAAAAGTTTTCCACTCTGCACGGAAGCATTACCTGCTCCTTCCAGATCAGCAGTAACTGTCCCAAGCTTTACAGCAAGAGGGTAGCCTGTCTCCTTGTAGTGTTCAATGGCATGGTTATTGCCACCAGTTCCATCCCAATTTTTCCTCCCACAAAGGATCATTCCATCAGTAAGGTTCAACCAGAGATTATCCCTTTTATTGCACTTAGTACATTTCCACCCAGATGGCGGAACAATAACACCATTGTCGATCTGTTGCAAATTCATCGCATATGCACTGGTTTGCTTCTTATCAGCTGTCCATGCTGCAACTTGCTCTTTCCGCTCAGCACCCTCAGCCATTAAGATGGCATCCACTGCCAACCTTACCTGCAATGTTTCACATGGAACAATCATAATAAGATCTTTGCTTGAGATGATAGAAAATTTTTTACATAACAAATAATAAGAAAGCAAAACAACAATTACCTTCTCAGGTAACTCCACAGAAGGAAAAGGAAGTGTCACATAATCAGGCAATATAACTATATTATGAGTTTCATCATATTCAGCTTCATTGTTGTCAAATCCCCCTTCAATACCTGAAAGTAGACCACAAAGAACCATATATTTCTCCTCAAACAGCAATAACCATTGGATGTATAATCAACAACATCAAGTATGACCTTCTTTTACAATAATAGATGCAGGATTAGACACATAGAGACAGTATAAATGAAAAAATTTCAACCATGAAAATTTTTTAACTCACATACCCTAGAATGCTATCAAAATATAGATCAGAGCATCTTGTTTAAATACCTATAGCCAAATAAGTCGGTTTTTTTGAAGGTCTATCTTCAAAGCCTAAAAGTAGACCACAAAGAAACCATATACTTCTCCTCAAACAGCCAAGCACTAATGGAAGTATAATCAATCAGATCAAGAATGGCCTTCTTTTACAATAATAGATGCAGCATTATAGACACAGAGGCAGTAGAAATGAACAAATCTCAACCTTGAAAAAGATTATAACTCACATACCCTAGAATGCTATCAAAATATAGAACAGAGCATCTTGTTAAATACCTATAGCCAAAAGAGTCGGTTTTTTTGAAGGCCTATCTTCAGGAACCAACTTTCTTGTTTGCTTTATATGCAAATAAACAGGGTTTCCAGTCTTCTCGAAGTTCCAACCCACACAGTCTTTCCCATAAGCAAGAAATGTATTCAGGTCGATGAACAAACCACCTTCAGATCTCTGAAATTTATCCCCAGAATCAACAGAACGGACCACAATGAAAGAACGTATAGCAAATTAAACTGAGTAAAAGTGAAGACAAACAAGCCTTGACAAACTATAAACTTCCTATAGCCTAAACAGGTAATCTCGTCACAATAACACAATTAGAATATAAAACCATGTACCAGAGAAAGAGATTGAACATAGAGACCATTAACTCCCTCCCCAACAGGCAAGTCAAATGAAGCAAAAGTGACTGAATTCATTCACATGCATTGCTTTTTCTAGCACAGGTCTATTATTCAATTTCTTTTTTGTATTTCAAAACATATCAGATTTAAGAAAATTCTCAAGCAACACTCAGATTGAAAAAAAAGAAAAATGCTTTACGTCACAGCTGAGCAAAATTTAAAATTAATAAAAATCCAACATTTTCCTTTCATTACGCACTTTCTCCCAGCAGTGCAAACAAAACCACCACATTAACACAAATTGAACAAGCACATAGCTAGCAGTACTGCCCAGAGACAGCAGAGCTAGTAAATTTCATTTACATCATTCCAACCACGCCTAAGGAATTCGTAGAATTTTCTCTCTTTTATATTTCCAGAACTTTCTCGGCAGCCAAACAAACATATCTAATACTTTAACACATCACATTTCCAGTTGCAAACCATCACAAACGAGTTCCAATATTTCCTTTTTTTTTCACGCGAAGCAGCAGACTATAACTACTTCTTTCACTTTTCCTAGTAAAATTTTCATTTTCCTAAGCTTTCTCAAGAAACAAACGGAAAATCGCAAGAAAAAGAGAGGAAAATACCGGAGTATCGAAGGAGATGCAACATTCTTGTTTGAAGATGCGATTGGTTGGTTCGGGGATCCGAACCCGAGAGAGATTGGATCGGAGCAAGTCCATAGGGTTTATCATTTCCGTGTTTCAGCAGGAAAATAGAAGAATAATTTGATTGAAATTTTAAATAAATAAAAGAAAAGAGAATATTTGGTTGGGTTGGGAGCAAGTAAAGGCAAAGCTAATATGCGCCGAAAGATGAAGATGAAGATGAAGACGAAGACGAAGGGAGTGAAGCGAAATAAAAAGTGACCTGGTGTTCGTAAAGCGCAGTACCTCCTTTGTTTTATGCTTTTGAAACGAGTCTTCTTCTCTTTGGACTAGAAAGGTTGAGTCTTGTATAAATTACGTAAATTAAATCTTTTTTTTTTTTTTTGGAAATTTAATAAATTATAATTAATTTCATTTAAAAAAATTAAAACATTAAAATAGTTATTGTGTTAATCATTATATTTAATTTCTCATTTGCATTTAAAAAGAAATGATTTTTCAATAATTATGTAATATAATTTATGCCAAATAGACCATAAGCAAAAAGACAAAAAAGTATATGATCGTTTCCCAGAGTTATGAAAGAAAAGATATGTATGTTACTTTATTTTAATTTAAACTTTCAATAAAATTGTTATTTTCATGGTAAGCTATATTGATGGGCCAGGCCCATTGCAATTGTTTACAGATCAATCTCAAAGTGAAGTCCAATTGGGCCAATCCCTGGTCCGAGCTGGGCCAATCTGGACTAATTTAATTAAATCAATGATTCACGGTTAATTTAAGATTGTTGTATCTTTCAACTTAGTTACTTCTTAATCAACTCTAAACATTACGTTTAAAATAGGTTAATGTTATGCTTACAATTGAGTTATACAAACAGACAAAACACAAAGGACAGAATAATTATTTTACATAAATTTTATACAATTTCGATCTGTTTGTATGACTTAGTTGCAAACAAAATTTTATTGTTTAAATGTAAAATTTTTTGTTTGGTAAATTAGATTTTTAAATAATTGTTGGATGTAAAAGGACAATTAAGAACATATCTATTTCATAAAGCTCTCTTTAATTATGCATTTAAAGAAATTCCGGTGAATATCTTGCGGCTTCCTATGCCTAAACGGCGACTCAAAATCTAGTGATTCCACCGGATTCTTATAGATAAGCACTAGCCGATCATTTTGATACCGTGTCTTGGCTGCTGAACAGAACCGGGAAAATCATCCCAAATATTCTTTAATTTGTGGATCTCCAACTCCAATTTACCCTTTAGAACTTTACTCAAACAGCATTTGACACTACTGCCCAAGTACAAACACAAGTCGTTCTGCAAAATGTACAACTCTCAGAAGCTAATAATTTAGAATAAGAAGGCAAACAATTAATGCAAATGCAATCGTTAGATTTATTTCAGTTTTTCAACTTCAATGAAAATTGTTTAGAACGGTAAGGCCCTTAGCCAACAAAATGAAAACTCAAAAGCAATGTAGTATATAGTATATGTGTTGATGATTGATTTTTGACACCAACTATTCGCACGTGCAAACTACTAAGCTGACTTAGAAATCACACGTGAATGGAAAATAACGTAAATGAAATAGAAGATGATTTTTAAAGTAGTTCGGATGCTTTAAGCAAATCCTACGTCCACTACTTTTTATAAATGAGAGATTACAATCAGGTCGCGTGTAGCGATCAGTGAATAGAAATACAAAGAGAGAGAGTGAGTGTTTTTGTTATCAGAATCCCGAAAATAAGAGGGGAGTCCTCTATTTATAGTAAAAGGTTTTTGGGTAATGATTACAAGTCTGTAAGTAGACATGTGCCGTATAATTCCTACCCTACTTTCTATTGGTTAATTGTACATAAAATATAATTAAATCGCGCAGGGTTTGGACAGGTGGGTGACTCCCAGACACTCATAAACCAAATCTTTACCTGTCAAGTCGATGACAACCTTACTCCTTTTGTCCTTGGATAACATGGCAACGCCTAGACGACACAAAGTTTTCCTAAACTCTGATTAATTCTTGCTGACGTAAACTTGTGTCTAGCCCTGATTTCTTAGGTATAGCAATATGAAACAAGTGAAAATGTGCTATACACTTCATGGCTTAGTAGTACTTCTGTCTCCCTCTCATTTGTGATAAGATCGGTAATTCTACAGATAGTGGCACCAATTGCAATCTAGTGGTTGAGGACATGAACATGAAATCTTTGTGGCTTTAGTGCTGGTAGGTTTATCATTTTAAGCTGAAGTTGTCTCAGCCCTATGTTGGAAAAGATAGGAATCAATGGTCGTCTCTCTAGTATCAGGATCAAACATTGCGTCCTTGTTTAAAAATTATTATATTTACTGTTTCATCTAAGATCTACTGTATCTCAGGGACTGTCTGCTTGCCTGGTCTTTGTCGAACATCTGTTTCATCTTCAGTCTTCTCTATCTCTGGGGGTTGCTTCTTGCCTGGTCTGTGTTGAATTTCAGTTTCTTCTAGTGGCTGTTCTCCAGACTTCTGTTGAGTTTCCGGATCATTTCAATAATTTTCGTCTCTAAAGTTTCCCGCAGTGGCTCTTTTTCAGGCCTTTGTTGAGTTTCTGGATCAACTTCAGTAGCCTTAGTCTCAGAAGTTTCCTGCAGTGGCTCTTTTTCATGCCTCAGTTGAGTTTTTGGTTCAACTTCAGCATCTTTTGTCTCTGAAGTTTCGCGGTGGCTCTTTACAATGCCTCTGTCCAGTTTCTGGATCAACTTCAGTATCCTTTGTCCCTGAAGTTTCCTTCGGTGGCTCTATGTCATACCTCTGCTGAGTTTCTGAATCAACTTCAGCATCCTTCGTCTCTGAAGTTTCCTGCAGTAATGGCTCTTTGCCAGATTCGGAGCTTGAAGATCCTCCAGCTTGAGATGACCCCTCCGGCTGGAAATGATCCTCCAGTTTGAGATGACCCTCCAATTTGAGATGACCCTTTAGGTCAAGATGATCCTTCAGCTTCAGATGACCTTTTAGCATGAGGCTTCTGTTGCTCAATCATATCCGTTTTTGCCTTTTAAAAGTTTCATTGTAGAAAAAAAGAATTAGAGAACAACTTCATATCTCTCAAGAAACAAACAGCAATAATAAATGAAATACACTCGGAATGCATACTTGATTGTACCACAAATCAAGGACTCTGAAGGTTCTGTGGTCTCATTTTCCAAGCAATCATCAAGCTACGGTTGGCAACAAGAGCTGCCTCATCTCGCACAAGTTCTACCACATGTGATTGAACAATTTGACTTTATATACAAAATTGTGAAAAATCATGGGTTTCATAAATTGATAGGTTTTGAAATTATTGCTCTAATAAGGAACAAAAAAGACATTTTATTTTTAAGATATTTTACAATTCAAAATTCTGTTTTGATAAATATGTAAAGTTCTATTAAAATAATTTATATTAAACAAATTATTAATTATTTTATAATTCAGAATAAAATTCAAATGGCCTTTCTGCTCTCTCTATGAAACTTTAATACCGAGTAGCCTTTTTGCTCTCTCTATTGAAACTTTAAGGGAATACGGGGAATGCGATTAATGGAGTTGTTGCGGCCGCACTGGTCGAAAACGAGGGGAATCGATCTCTATCCTTCAGGATTAGTAATCCACAGCATCCATTCAGTTTAAAGTTCATTTCATCATCTAACTCTGAATCATCTATTTTATTTTCTGGTACGCGACCGCCTTATTCTTTGTCTTCGACATAGACATCGGTTCCTTTCCAGGCCTACGTTCAAATTCTATCTGTATCTGTATCTGTATCTGAATTGAACTGCCAGCTTGGCTCTTGCCATGTTACGTTCAAATATTCTTTCTGCATCTGTATCAGAAATGTGCAGCTTGGCTCCTTCTTGGGACTGCGTGAGGCCGCTCGAACCCGAGGACTCTGTTGCGCTTTCTATCTGTTGCATAGTTTCCTTTTCTATGCACATTTGAAGTAACTTTGCAAAGCGGCTTCTAATCAACCTGAAGAACAACTAACGAAAAGGTTCTCAACAATTTTTTCAGATAATACCAAGAATGGAACTGGGTTGACACAACCTTATTGACAAATTTGGTATCCACAATCCAATTATAGCAAATGGGCTGCATTTCGCGAAGTGTACGTCTACAAGCTGTGATAATAGCTGCTGCGGCAATCACCGAAGGTCTGAACTTTGTAACAAAAGTTTTGTTGCGTAAAAAAAAAAAATTATAAAGAAAACAACGGAAGATAACAAGAAATAACTTGTATTTTTAAGATTTGTACCGCCTGTACTGGATTATAATCTCGTTTACAACTCGGGTTTGATGTTTTCTGCTCCAGGAATCCTCGGAATTACCATTAAACGAACGAATAGCTGTTACTTCCAAGTTCATTTAAGTGCATTGAGAATCACAAGTTCCACTGTCAGTATGTGCCTCTCATGCTTAATCATTTTCGTTTTTACCTTTCATTTGATCGAATAAATTAGAGAGAAAATTAAAAAAACTAATCTTTCAGGAAACAAAGAGTAATTATATAAAATTATACACCAAATTTGATTAATTTACCAGAAAGGGAAGGACATCGAAGGTGTCAGGTCCGTCTATAAGCAATCATTAAACAACAGTTGGCTAAAAGAACTACTATCTCGCACACGGTCTAGCACGTTCTGATTGAACAATTTGACATTAATATTGAAAATATGTGAAGGATCTGAGTATAAATCATGGGGTTTTGATGTTGTATTACCGGAAGTCGGTTTTTGAAATGAAGCGATCAAAGCAAACTAAAGCTAGATATGGTACAAACGCATTAAAATTGTCGCAACGAGAGTTCTGTAATCAATATAAGATACTCTTTAAGTCTCAGGAATTTATCAAAAACTAGCAAACTTGAAACACTATAAATTTAGGAAAGAAAAGATTACAAACATTGAATTTGATCATTTGTTTCGTTTTCTTGTCCTTTATCATTTTCTCGTCAGGCTAGAAACAGATAAAAAGGAGTATGATGTTCAATTTTCATCAAACAAGGGTTTAGAAGTTCAAGATCTAAAACATATTCTTAAATAAAGCAACTGACTCGCTACAGAACAAAGCAAATGAATTAGTAGTT